TTGAAGCAGGCTCTACCTGGGAGTGAGAAAGCCCGGTGACAATGGAAAGGCCCTGCTCCCAGGACTCAGCGTCCTCACCCCTGTCCTCCACGGTGTCCGGTGAGTTCCTGTGCAGGGGTCCGAGCTGGGTGAGGGCTGAGGTTTCCAAGAATGAAGACACAGGGAGGTGCTTTTCGTGGCACTGGTGTACCTCCATGGGGTCCTGAAAAAGGAGGAAGACACTGAAGACGTGAGTCCTCCAGGGAGCAGACTGGGAGTGAACTTGGGATCCAAGGGCTTGGATGCTTTGGGGAGGCCTGGGCCTGGAGAGGACCGTGGGGTCTGCCCCTGGCCAGGGCCATCTTGGGAGTGGTGGCCATGTCCTCAGTGAAGCTACTGATTTGGGAAGCACCTATGCTGGGAGTAGGGGTGAGGATGAGGTGTCCCCTGTCCAGGTGAATAGACATGGGAGGCTTCGCTGCTAGGACTTGTGGCCTCAGGCCGAAGACCAAGTTTGGAAGAGAGGAGAAGGGCTGTGAACAAAATCTCCTCCCCTGGCCCTTGCCTTAAGTGTCCCCTGGACTGGCACTGGAGGAAGTGGCCCAAGTAGGAGAGCTTCCTGGGCAGAGGAGCTGCTGAAGGGCAGGGGTGCAGGGCCTGGGCTCTGGGAGTTCCAGCAGCTCCAGCCTGGGGTGCAAGGGGCTGGTTGGGGCCGCTGGGAAACCCTGATGCATGGCCTGAGGCAGGGCCCAGGGGGGCCTTTGGCTGCCTTTCTTCTTCTTGGCTAACTTGGCCCATGGGTAGCAGTGAGCTGGGTGGCCGGCCTGGTGCCATGACCAGCAGGCTCCAAGCCCCCGACCAGTGGGCCACTTCCTGCCACCAGAAACAGCTCAGGGAGTTGGGTAGACATGGGAGCAGCCGGCAGGCTTTGCATAGGCTCTGCACAGGTTCCCATGGGACGCGCCTGACCGGTGTTCTCTCCTCAGCTTCCACGCTCATTGGCAAGCCTGGGGCTCCACCTGTGGGGCCCCTGCAGAGAGAGCAGGCCAGCTCACTCCTGCCCAGCTGCCCTTCTGAGGAGGGTGGGGTTCCCAGGGAGAAGCAGGGGAGCCAGGTGAGCCAGGATCCCCCACCCGCAGCCAGCACACACAGCCCTGGGTGGAGCAGCCTGCACGTGGTGGTCACCTCATCTGGCCAGCCGTCCTCCTTGGGCTCGTGCTCCTTGTCCACGGCCGCTGCCAGCAGCACCCTCATCCTGCAGGCCCCACAGTGCTCCCTGGCCAAGGCTTGCTGGCCGCCGCCCATCGTCTTCCTGCCCAAGCTCCTGCAGACATGGTCCTGGCCACTGACAGCAGCAGCCTGCCCAAGGCTGCCTCAATGCTGCCCTCCCCCTCAGTCATGTAGGCCAGCTTCTTCCGCCCGCTACTCAGCAAGACCATGACGTCCACGGAGCAGTCCCTGTACTACCAGCGTGGATGGTGCCACGGCCCAGCCACATGGATTACGGCAACCGGGCGAGTGTTTTATGGACAACCCGCCCCCCAGGCTCAGCGGGGTGCCCCAGGTGGGCCCCATGCCTGCTGTCCCCAGGGTGTCCCCAAGGACTCAGGTGGTCACTGGGGGCATGGTCTGGGGCCAACAGTGCCAATCCCCTCCCCTCTCGCCATTTCTGGCGTTTCTTCTTGGATGGAGGGCAGGGCTTGTCTGCATGGCCCGCTCGTCTCCTCTCTTGTGTGATGCTGGGGGCAGGTCCAGGCCTGCACATTACACATCAGACTTCCTGCATGTGGCCTCTCCTGTGAGGGCTGCACCCCCCACCCCCATGACCATGGAAGCTCAGTGCCTGGTTCTGCACGGGGAGTTTTATGACATTGTGAATGGGGAGGGTGTGGCTTCATGTCCTTGTCTCAGCCTTCCCCCAACTCGCTGCTTTCCCTGCTGACCACTTTGGCAGCAGTCGCTAAGGCGAGAGTGTCCACCCACTGGCGAGCATGGGAGAAGAGCTGAGGATTGGGCTCAGCCATCACCTGACCCCAGGGCAAGCATTAACCTCCAAGTCCTCACCTGAGAAGGGCTAGAACAGCAGAATTTGGAAACGTGAGGATGTGAGAACCTGATGGGCTGTGCTGCCTTGACCTCAGCAAGTCCCTTCCCAGGGACCCATCCCACAGAGCCACATGTCAGAATGCTCAGCTGTGTGTTAACACTGGGGGAAAGCAGTCTGGAAGCAGATTCCTCTGGCCAAGTCTTGGTGGAATACATTTGAGCACACCTGTGTGGAGGAATTCTGCTGGAGGAAGCTTGAGATTGATCTCTCTGCTGCCATTGAAATTTCCCCAAGGGATTTAAATAGTTCATTTGCAGAATCACAAACACATTTATGTGGTATGGTATCAGGAAAACAAATCAGTGCATGTGTCTCTGAAAATAGGTTAACAGTTTGCATTTTTTGACTACTGAAAATGAGCATATATTACTTTGTCTAATTTGAAAAAATAGGAAAAAAGAAAATAATTCCTTCTATCCTGACACTGCTGGATGTTATTGATTTTTAGAATTTTTGCCTCTGGTGTGTGGAAATGTTATAGTGTTGTTATTGAGGTGACCGTAGAAACATAACTGCATTTTTTTTAAAAAAAATATTTTATTTATTTCTTTGAGAGGTGGAGTTACAGAGAGGGAGAGACAGAGAAAGGTCTTCCATCTGCTCTTTCACTTCACAAATGGATGTAGCAGCTGGGGCTGTGCCGATCTGAAGCCAGGATCCAGGAGCTTCTTCCAGAGTCTCCCACATAGGTGCCATCTTCTACTGCTTTCCCAGACCAAAACAGGGAGCTGGATCAGAAGAGGAGCAGCTGGGACTAGAACTGGCACCGATATTGGATGGTGGTGCTGCAGGCAGAAGCTTAGCCCACTACACCACAGCGCTGGCCCCAGAATGCATTTTTATGCATTCATTGATACTTCTGAACCCAGTGATTTTATTTCTCTTTCTGATTTTCTTGTTGATTGGTAGGGACTTTTCACATGTTAAGGGTCTTCACCCTGGGTCTGTTGCTTGGGTTGCAGACACTTTCGAGTTTTCCCGGCTTCATATTAGTCTACTTTTGGATGTTATTTCCAGTGTTTGCTGAGTTCTTGTTGTGGACCATGTCTTGAGTTCAGAGCTTGGAAGCAAGCCCTGGAGCAATTGTGTTGTGAGGGTGGGATCAGGGAGGGCCCTGGGCTTGCCTGTGGTGCCTCTTGAATCAGCTGTTACCAAGAGGCAGTGGGAGTAGCTGTGAGTAGAGTCGCCTGCTGGGCCAGGGGTGCAGGATCTGGGGCAGAGGAAGGAAGAAGAGAAGAAGCTGCTTTCTCTTCCTGGGTGTGGGAGGAGAGAAATGAAACATGGACATTTTATGCCTTGGGCAGTGAACTTTGTTACCTCACTGTAGACAGCGATAGAAGCAGGCAGTTTCTGGCCGTTGCTGTGGTGCAGCAGGTTAAGCTGACACCTGTGACTCCAGCATCTCCTATGAGAGTGCCCAGTCGAGTCTCCACTGCCTTGATTCTGGTCCAGCTCCCTGTTAATGCACCTGTGAAAGCAGCGGCCTGTGGTCCCCTGCCACCGTGTGGGAGATGTGGGTGGAGTCCAGGTTCCTGGCTTGGGCCTTCTCATGTGATGAGGAAAGCCTCTGTCTATCAGAGCTCCAGCTTGAGTCCCAGCTGCTGCTGTTCCTGCCCCCTGCTCCTGTTCCTGAGAAAGCAGTGGAGAATGGTCCCAGTGCTGGGACCCTGCCACTCACATGTGAGACCCAGATTGTGCTGTGGGCTCCTGGTTTTACCTGGCCTAACCCTGGCCATTGTAACCATTTGTAGAGTGAACCAGCAGGTAGAAGATTCTCTCTCTCCCCCTTCCCCTCTCTCCCTATCTCTGCCTTTCAAATAAAAAAAAATCTTAAACTGACTATTTCATAGTGATTTGGTTGCTTTGGGCAAGAAATCAAGACTCCATTTCTTATTTATTTCCCAGCCCTCTTCTTGGCCTTCTTTCATCCATCAATGAGGGTGGTCCCAAAGTTCAGATGGTCCAGAACAGTTCAGAGCCTGCATCAGTTGACCTTCCTGAATTATTTGTGGGTGCAGGGCTGGGTTTTTTTCTTGCTCTGTCACTGAGTGCAGCACAGAACTTTTCATGTTGTTCACTGTTCACCAACCACCCCACAAAGCCTAGTTCTATGTCCACTGCATGCATGTGTCCCTTCCTAACTCATCCGCAACACAAATTTACTGACAGTTACCCTGTGTTCTCCAAGAACTTCCCAAAGACAGGGTGGAGGAGAAAGCCATATCCTTTGCGAAGGTATTGGTACCTTTATTTTGGAGACAGAAATGTTTTTTGTTTACAATTAATTTTTTCTCAATATGAAAATCTGAGTACATACATTGCAGATGACTGCCTCAGTTTTCTTAAGTGCTTGCCTGTTGTTAATTGTGACCCGATTCAAGATGGTCTTCAAAAATGACAGCATCATTTACAAGTTATATGGTACAGGACATTTGTTCAGTAGCAGTTTTTCATTCTTTGGCTGCTCCTCTTCCAGTCCAGCTCTCTGCTGGGGGCTGGGAGAGCAGTAGAAGATGGACCAAGTGCTTGGGACCCTGCATGCACATGGGAGACCAGGAAGAAACATCTGGATCCTGGCTTCAGATCAGCTTGGCTCTGTCCATTGTGGCCACTTGGAGAGTGAACCAACAGAAGGAAGACCTTTCTCTCTGTCTCTCTCTCACACCATCTGTAGCTCTCTCAAATAAATAAAAAATCTTTTTAGAAAAATGCATCTTGTATTTGCCAAGCAAAATGGACATGCAATGTCACCTGTGAAAGGTCATGTCTTGCACACAAGTGTCATCTATGCTTTATCTGAGGGCAGCTGCCTCATGCATCAGGTTTCCCACAGTAAGCAAGGGAAAAAGAGACCTGTGCAAACAGAATGTGGTCCAATAGTGACTTGACTTTCTTTCTCTGATTACAGATGGACTCAAGATCCAGTGAAAACTGTACGTGTTCTGGAATCCCTCAGTTGTTGAGGAAAAGCTGAAGGGATGAGAGAGTGGGACCTTCCTGCCTGTTCTCTTCTGGTGATTCAATCTGATTCCAGCTTCCTGGTGGATAACAAGATCTCAGGTGTGGTGAAAGGAACAGATAGGCCAGCACAGAGCTATGGGCATCTAAGGCAGGCCCTGGAAGTAGCTGTGTCATTTAGAGATCGTGTGGGTCTATGTGCATCAGTGTTGTGAAGTTTTCATGAGTGATCATGTATGCTTTTAAAAGTGTGCATGAGTGTGTGTGTGTGTGTGTGTGTGTGTTTTCCCCAGGAAATGCATTCCTATGCACAGCTCAAGATTAACTTCTCAAAATAGAGAAGAATCTGATCATTTTATGTAATTAACTTTATGTAATGGACTCATTCAACCCTATCCCTGCCTAATGTCTGACAGATAAGTTACATTTCCACAGCTCAGACAGACATGATACATACACAAATTGCCCAAGACCTTGATGGCCCAAGTGAGAGAGGCAACTAAATGCCCCTGTTGATCCTTCTGACTGCAGTGAACTTCAGACCATGACATAACTAGCACCACCATGCAAGGGAGTCCCAGCACTTACGTGCCAAGAATTATTAGATCCACAGAGATCCTAAATGCTGTACATAATTATAAGCTGATCTCTGTTATCACACAATCCAAGTAGCAATAGGTACACCAAATTGCAGGCTTTGGCATCATCATGAGCATTGTAACACACAAACAGAAATCCTCATCAACTCACAAATTCTGAGAGGTGTGTGGCACCATGTCAGAAAGCAAAGGTCAACCTCTATTAAGTCCAGTCTTTTTCAGTACCTGGCCTAAATAGGCAAGACAAAGGGAGACACTTTATTAGGTTTTTTTTTTGACAGGCAAAGTGGACAGTGAGAGAGAGAGACGAGAGAAAGGTCTTCCTTTTCTGCTGGCTCACCCCTCAATGGCTGCTGTGGCTGGCGCACTGCACTGATCCAAAGCCAGGAGCCAGGTGCTTCTCCTGGTCTCCCATGTGGGTGCAGGGCCCAAGCACTTGGGCCATCCTCCACTGCACTCCCAGGCCACAGCAGAGAGCTGGACAGGAAGAGGAGTGACCAGGACAGAATCCGGCACTCCAACCAGGACTAGAACTCAGGGTGCTGGCGCTGCAGGTGGTGCCTGTTGAGCCACAGCACCAGACCTTTATTAGATTTAATCAATCATCAACATGAGCCTTAAAAATGTATGTTTAAATGCAGCAGCACACACCCTGTACACAAAAGTACTTGTCACCCTGTCACAAATCCCTTATGCAGCATAGTAAGAGACATCATTGCCTACCACATGCTGACTTTCTTGATCAATGATCCTACCATTGGCATTGGGTAGCATGAACCTGGGGAGCCAATGACTCAAGGGATATGCATACATCACATGGAAAAGAAAGACCAGGAGTTTACAATAACCCATTATATCCAGGAGGAATAAACAGAATAAATAGAAGGGAGTAGCTCAAAGGCTCCAAACTTATCATAATAAGGAAGAGGGAATGTTAACGGTCCTCATTTGGACCATATGTACACTATACATATTTGACACATCACACTATACTCCAAACCTGTGAAAGTATTTAATATCAATCAAAAGAATATAAAATATATTTAGGGAACTGGAAATGTAAACCAGCCTGATTTGATCATCACAAATTGTCTACATATAATGAATTCTTATGCTCTACTCCGTAAAGATGTCCCATTATAGTAAGTGAAGTAAGCTAGATGCAGAAAAACAAGTACGTATCAGATCAGACACGACAAATATCAAGCACGTAAAAATTAGAGTAGAATGGTGCTTCCAGAGGCTTGGGTTTAAGGATATTGGGAGGTGTTGGCCAAAGTATACAAAGTTTCATTTAAATAGAATGAATGAGTTCCTGAGATTTAACCTAGAATTTGATTACAGTTACTAATATCATAGTGTTAGAATTTGCTAAATGAAGGAGTAGATCTTTCAGTATGGAAGATGTTAGGTTAATTAGCTTCATTGCAGTCCTCATTTCACAATATTTATGTGTATTTGTGTATGTATATTTTATATATACATGTATATTTAGTGCATTGTACTCATTAAATATAGAGATGGAAGGTATCTAGTCTAGAAGTTAAGACACCAGTTATGTGACCAATGTCTCACATAGGTGTGACTGGGTTTGAGTCTCAGCTCTGGCTCCCAGTTCCACCTTCCTTTCAATGTAGACTCTGGGACACAGCAGGTGATGACTCAAGTAATTAGGTTTCTATCACCCTGGATTGAGTCTCCAGCTCATGGCTTCAACCCTCATCTACCCCAGCCTCGGCAGACATTGAGGCATTAATAAGGGGAGTAGAGCACTCTGCCTCTCTCTCTGCGTGGCAAGTACATACTTTTAAAAAAATGTTTAAGATAGATACACTAAAGAAGATTTTAAGTGACTGAATAGGGAAAAGACATACTGCTTTAGAAGAGAGGAAAACAGCAGCAGCAACAATAAAAAGCAGAGGAAGTGCATTTGCAGAGGATAGTCAGAAATTTGCTCTGGAAATCCTGCAGAAGGAAGAGGGAGACCATGTATCAGCATGGAAGATGCCAACACACAATGACCAGTGCACACTCCACACACAACTCCTGCAGTTGAGAGCTGGGGGATTTGTCTGCATTGGAGAGTGGGGTGACAGGAGACTGAGGCAGCCTGTGCCACTGGTGATACTGCCAGAGGGAGAACCTTGAGGATCACATTGTCTTTCATTCTGGCCTGGAGCACTAACAGGGGGCAGGGTACCTGTCTAACCCAGCAAAAGAAAAGAGCAATTCTTTCTCCCCGTGCCCCCACAAGGGCACCTGGCAACTGGTGGGGAGAAGGTGCCATTTGACCTCAGTAGCAGCTGCACGGGTATGATCAAGGGATTTTATGAAAGAGAAAACTGTGTATTCCTCATTGACTTTGATTCTGGCTGGGAGGTTTGACAGGGCCTAGGCACCCATGTAGAACTGCGAGGTGACCCATCATCTCAACATATAGGCTGCAGGGCTCAAACTCTAAGTGAAGCACCCACAGGCAGCTGGCTCTGGAAATGTCTTTGCTCTGTCAACAGAACAGCGTAGTGGGGTGGAATTGATCCTCTGCACTCCCACTCTCCATGTGGGAGCATGGCATGCTGTGGCTCAGAATTCTCTAAGATAGGGCATATATATAGGGCATGTATACCTGGGTTTCTGGGCAATAACTATGTCTGGGACCAGAAGCTCAGAGCTCTGCAATTACCTGCAGTGGGTCCCAGCAGTGGGATCCATGCTCACATTAAGGACTTTACAGATCTGCTGTGTGGTTCATGTGGTAGTACAAGTGAGTGTTGTACCCACTGTGGTCTAAGCCTTGGGTTTGATCACTTTGGAAGAGAGGTGGTAACAATTTGAAGATACCAACAGAGGTGACCACACACTTCCCCCTGCTGACAATAGAGGAGATCTACCACGCCAAAGTTGGGTGTTAATCTGGATATTTGCCCTGCCCTAGAGCACTGCCCAGAGCTTCCTGGACACTCCTAGAACATGTCTCTGTATCAACTGAAAGAACAGTCATTCCACTAAGCCAAAGGGGGTATGGTTTAGAAATAAAATCCATCAAAATAGAAAAGTAACAAATATTTCCACAAATACTTAAAAATAAATGCAGAAATTCAAGAAACAAGAAGACAACATGACTCCCCCAAAAGAACACAACACTTCAATATTAGAATGTGAAAATGATTGCTGAAAGTGCCTGAAAGGGAATTCAAAAGAATGATCATAGGATTACTCAGAAGCAATGAGAAGCAAATTCATGAGTTATAGGATTCTATATATGATATAGAGGACAGAATTTCCCATGAGATTGATATTTCAATTGAGAAGCAGATATTAGAAATGAAGAATTTGATATGTCAAATGAAAAATATAGTGGAAAGCCTTATCAACAGATTTGTTGATGCAGAAGAAAGAATATCTGAGCTAGAAGGCAAATCTTTGGAAATATCTTAGATCAAAAAAGATAAATTAGAAAAATTAAAAGCTATATTAGATCTTTATGGGATACTATCAAATTATGGGTCATAAGAGTTTCTGAAGGTGTGGAAAGAGAATGGTTTAAAAGGCCTATTCAGTAAAGCAATTACAGAAATTTTTCCTAATTTGGAGAAAGTAAGAGATATCCAAGTACACAAGGCGCATAGAGCTCCTAATAGACATGACCAGAAAAGCACCTTATCACAATACATTGTAGTCAAACTTTTAACAGTAGAATATAAAGAGAAGTTTCTAAAATGCATACAAGAGACATGCCAGATTACTTTCAGAGGACCTTCAATTACATTCACAGCTGATTTCTCATCAGAAACTCTAGGGGCTGGAGAAAATGGAGAAACAACTCAAGAACATCTAGAAAATACACAAACACATGCAGACTAAGCAACATGCTTCTGAATGAACAGTGGATTGCAGAAGAAATCAAATTGGAAATAAAAATATTCCTAAATAAATGAAGATGACAATACAAAATATTAAAATTATAGGATACAGTGAAAGCAGTGTTAAAATTGCAGTTTATAGAAATTGGTGCCTGCATCAAGAAATTTCATCTCAGGCTGGCGCTGTGGCTCACTAGCCTAATCCTCTGCCTGCAGCGCTGGCACTTCAGGTTCTAGTCCCAGTTGGGGCACCGGTTTCTGTCCTGGTTGCTCCTCTTCCAGTCCAGTTCTCTGCTGTGGCCCAGGAAGGCAGTGGAGAATGGCCCAAGTGCTTGGGCCCTGCACCCACATGAGAGACCAGGAGGAAGCACCTGGCTCCTGGCTTCTGATCAGTGCAGTTTCAGCCATTGTGGCCATCTGGGGGGTGAACCAGCAGATGGAAGAGCTCTCTCTCTGTCTCTACCTCACTTTGTAACTCTGACTTTCAAATAAATGAAAAAATCTTAAAGAAAAAACATTCCTCAACACAATAAAGGCAATTTATGACAACACAACAAGCATCTTATTGAATGGGGAAAAGTTGGAAGCATTTCTACTAAGATCCAGAATCAGAAAAAGATACCCAGTTTCAACAGTGCTA